TTTAAACTAGATCTCATCTAGTCAAAAAACAAATGTGAGGGCTGGCGAGATGGCTCGGTGGTTAAGAGCACAGCCATTTTGCAGAGGACCTGAGTTAGGTTCTCAGCACCCACATCTAGCAGTTCACAATGGCCTGTAACTCCAGCTCCAGGGGATTCAGACGCCGTCTTCTGGGCTCTGTAGGCACTGCACTCATGTGCACAAATCCACACTCACACATTAACACATATAATTAAAACAAGAAAATAATTTCTGTGCCCCAAGTACTTGATCTAACTCAGCAGGTAAAGTCACCTGCCACCAAGTCTGAGGAGCTGAGTTAGAACCCTGGAACCAACATGGTTGAGGGAAGAACCCATTCCCACAAACTGTTTTCTGCTCTCCACACACACAAATAAACATAATAAAACAAAATTTTTAATTCTGTTCTAAGAGTATAAAATTTCTATCTAAAACTTAAAAGACAAGTTCCCAGAAAAAGTTCCTAATAGGTTCTATTTTTCTGAACATTTTAATGAAGTTCCTTGTGGGTGCATATGTGGGTATGAGTATGTATGCACACGTTTTCATGAATGTGGGAGTCAGAGGTCATTCACCTTGTTTAGAAACACAAGATCTTCATAGGTCTGGGGATTGTCCATTAGACCATCAAAGCTGACTGCTCAGTGAGCTTAAGGGATCTGCCTGTCTTTGCCTCCCCAACATTGGGATTACAGGCACCATCACACCTAGCTTTTTAAATATGGACTTTGGAAACCTAACTCAGATCCTCTTCTGAATGACCTGGCTCCCCAGCCTCTTTCCTTAATATTTACAAATTGAAAGTGAAATAAAGTTGTTGTTCTTAGTTTTTTTCTCAATGACCAGTTAAGGTGAAAAGACGAAAGATAAAACGTAGAAGGAAGAAATTACTAGCAGAGAGAAGAGTAGACAAAGGTTGTTCAGGAAGGGCTGCTTCAAAGCAGGCTAATGTGGTTAACTATTCACCCTAAATTTCTACTCACAAAGTTCCATAAGCTCTACATGTGTGCTGTGCCTATGTGTATTCACGGTCACATACATGAGGCTAGAGGTTAACATTGGAAATCTCCTTCCATTGTTCTCTAACTTACTGATGTAAGCACTCTCAATTTGAACCTAGAGCTCCCTATGCACAGTCTAAGTAGCCAGCTTGCCCTGGTAATCAACTGTCTCCCACTTGGAAGTGCTGGAATTACAGATGGGCTGTCACACACACACAACATTTACATGTTTGAGGGACCCAAACTCAACTCCTTATGTTTGTGTGATAGGTACTTCATCCATGGGCCTACATCCCAAATTAATAATGCATCTCAATTGCCAAATATTAAATACACCTGGGTGCTTATTGGTAACAATTAAGACTTCATTTTAAAGAGGGATGCCAGTGACTGGAATTCCCGGGATTGCCTGTGATTCCAATACTTAGGAAGATGAAATAATACAGGAACTTCCATGATTTTAAGGCCTGCCCAAGCTAACAGTAGATTCAAAGACTACACAGCAAAATCTTATCTCTAGCCAACAAGATGATTCAGTGGGCAAAATCAAAAGCTACCACCCTGAAGATCTAATTCAATTCTCAGTACCCAAGGGTAGATAAGTGACTCCTGGAAGACACTCTCATCTACACACATACATACACATACACATACACACACACACACACACACACACACACACACACACACACACACACACACACACCACGTATGTCCCGGATGTGAAAATAGTAAATAAAATTAATTTTTAATTAAAAATGCTTGTTAAAAAGTTTACTCAAAGCTGGGCGGTGGTGGCACGCCTTTAATCCCATCACTTGGGAGGCAGAGGCAGGTGGATCTCTGTGAGTTCGAGACCAGCCTGGTCTACAAGAGCTAGTTCCAGGACAGCCTCCAAGGCCACAGAGAAACCCTGTCTCAAAAAATACTACAAAAAAAAGAAGTTTACTGGGAGCTGGAGAGGTGGTTGAGTGGTTAGAGTACACACTGCTCTTGTAAGGATCCGAGCTGGGTTCCCGGCATTCACATAAAGCTGCTCACAGCTGCAACTCTAGCTCCAGGGGCTCCACAGGCACCTGCACTCGAATGCACACAAAAGTATACACCGAAAAACTAAATCTTTAATTAAAGTCTATTTGATGCTAAGACTAAAAATGGATGCCCACTTCATTAACCATGCTGTTCTGGGTGGTAGTGGGCGCCACCACAGAGTGTGAAGAGCACGGGCAACTTGGGATCAGTGGTATTGCCTGTCTACTGCCTCTTCTTGAATATGAAGAAAAGGCACTTACGGGGCTGGTCCCTGAGGAATTCTTCCAGTTCCTTTATCCTGAAACTGCAGTAACAAGACCCTACATACTTGGAACTGGGCTTATCTTGCCTTTTCTATCCAAAGAAATAAATGTAATTAACCCAGAGACCCTCCCTGCCACATCAATATTAGGGTTAATCATATCTATGTGATTGAAAATTATAGTGACTCTCTTGGAGAATTTATTGATAAACTTAGTAAGAAAAAAATGTTCAAGTAGAAGTAAAGTAAGTGAGCATCAAAGGAATTCAGGATACAACAGGCACAGAGAAGCACAGCAAACACTAATGCAGAAGCAGGACTACCTCTGATGTTCAGATGAACAACATTACCATGGCCTTGGAGGTGACTTTCCAGCAATGGCTTCATAGAGCATAGGTACACAGCTACATAGTAAAGGAGGTACAGAATCACCTGGACTATTACATTTCTGTACAGGACATGATGTGCCAAAAAGACTAAGAGCACAGGATAGACCGGGGGGGCGGAGGGAAGCATATGATGCAGGGCATCTCAACACATCAGGGAAAGCAGACAACTGTCAAGTACACCACATCTGTCCATCTCAATCGAGACAGCCAGAAGTAATTCACTAAATGAGGACTTGCCTGTGGGACAAAAATCTTCCTGTGTTGCTGGCTACTGAAATTACAGTGACAAATATTCATTTAGTGGCCTAAGTCCATTGCCCATTGCCCAGTAAGGTACTTCAGATCCTTGATCTGCATCTGAAGTTGTCTGGTGATAGCTTTTGAATGAGTAACTTGCGGCAACTTGCTGGCTGACTAAACTGAACAAGTTATAGCCTACACTTGTAACTTATACTATCTTGCAATAAACTGACAAATAAAATGGAAACATATAAAAATAATGAAATTTTAATTAAAGCATTGATCTTTTAGTTTGTAAGACAAGCAGGCACAGTCGAGGAAAAAAATAACCTAAGTTTCTTTTCCAACTTTTTTATAAATAGAACTAAGAAATTTCAGTGTCTTTAAGCTGCCCAAATTATAGATTTATAAATGTGTGTCCAGCTTAAAATGGAAATAAAAACGTGTATTTTACTGTGATTTATATTAGAGTTCAAACTATAGAGAATTCCCTTATAAAGATAAGTAACCAAGCCTGGGATCTAATGTTTGACTCAAAATAAGTTTTGAGAAAAGACTTATAATAATATACTTTACTTATAATAACTGTTGATAAGAACCCATCATCAGCTGCCACACAGCATTCAAGATTTGGGTTAAAGCCAGACATAGTGGCACACACCATTAGCTCCGCACTGGAAAACTAGAGGCAGAAGGAGAGTAAGAGAGGACCAGTCTAGACTACAAGCCACATCAAATAGGGACATGACCGTGCCCCCCCCAAAAAAAACATATTTGGGTCATTTTCCTAGTCATGTTAAAACTATTTGACATTAAATAGAAAACTTGGCCTTTTTAACTTAATTATTAGTTACATGTCACTCAAGGATTTTCCTCACTTTATAAAAGAATTATACATATAAAGAGATAATTCTCACATCTTCATTTATCAGTCTATTTCATGTTCAAAATGTCCTTAAAGACATTCAGTGTCTGTCCCTGAGTTGTTATGTGGTAGCAGTAGAATTATGTTATTTTTCCATTACAACACATTTTTAACACAAAAGTTCTTATCTTTTACAGCCAATCATTTTCAGAAAGCTCTTAATACTTCAATGAAAACAAGTTTTTTTAAAAGCAGACTTCTAATAATCTTTAATATGTCTAGCTCATTCTTTCTCACACATATTCTACTTCAAATATCCTCTACAGCAAATACACCAAATAGGACAGACACACAAGTCTTTATGAGCAGTAACTAGAACTCAGAGACTTTTCTGCTCTTGTATATTTAATCACACAGAATGCAAACTGCTGTGTTTTATAATTAGTAAGCAGTAATGGTTTTTCTGTACTGCTTCATTATTTTAACATTTATGTTAGAATAAAAAAATTATTTCACTATAACCAAAGCTTGTTCACACAGAAGCACTGACAATGAGCACACACTACTGAAATCATACCCACGTTTTCTGGCTACAAGAAATATTTCATGTAACAAAGATTTCTGTGCTTCATTAAATTCAGAGGGGGAAAAATGAAAGGATTATTTAAAGATGTGTTTAGGTGAATAAAATAAAACCACCTGTAACGGGGCCGGAGAGATGGCTCAGTGGTTAAGAGCACTGGCTGCTCTTCCAGAGGTCCTGAGTTCAATTCCCAGCAACCACATGGTGGCTCACAACCATCTAGAATGAGATCCGGTGCCCTCTTCTGGTGTGCAGGCATACATGCAGGCAGAACATTATATACATAATAAATAAATCAATCTTTAAAAAAAAAAAAACACCTGTAACACCAATGGCTTATAAACTCTTCTGTGCACATAAAACATCTCAAAAATCAACATATAATTAAGTCAGCTAATCAAAGACAATCCCTGCAAATTGTGTGAAGAGGCTTCTTATATTACATCACTGGAGCATGGCTTATAAATAAAATATATCTAAACATTTGTAAGTAAATATAAAACAGCTCCAAATTTCTATTTTAGAAAAAAAATCATTTAAGGAACCTACAAAAATTTATTTTGGATCAAACAAGTATAACTAGTAATGAAGCAAACAGTGTCTATAATTGTGGCAAGATGCTAATTTGTTTATTAAAAAGTATACAAAATTAGCTTAATTACAACATCAACTTATCAAAGGTTCTTAAAGTCAATTTTGCTTTTGGAAAAGTATCACGTCTTCATATCCAGAATAACAGCCTTTTATTATTTTGATTTATGGAACTATACATCAGATCTTCAAACAATGACATCAAATGAAACCCTGTATCATAATATAATACCCTTTTCCTGAAAGCTTGGAATGTAAATGAAAAAAAAAATTTAATTGAAGGAAAAAAACTGAACAAAGTACTCCCCAAAGACCAAACACACGTGAGAATGGCTTGTTGCTGGAATTAAACATGAACAAATTAAGTTTACATTGCTAAAAAAATAGTCAAGTTGAGTTTTTTCTTTATTAAAAAAAGCTTTTAAAGCAAATTCAGATCTTTAAGTCTTACAACAAAACAGTTCATTACTTTTAGCTAGGAAACCCACATCCACAAAAGGCATCCTCAAGCAGTACATATCTTAAAAGTATATATACACAAAACTAAAGTTCATAAATTGTTAACAAATCTAGGAGCAATAATTTAATATTCTATTGAAAAATACAGGCAGCCTTAAGAGAAACATGCTTGGCCAATCTTTCTTAAAGCTTCTGAGTTTGTTGCCCAAACAGTTGAAAAGAAAAAAAAAAATATCCTGACTCCTTCTTGTTGGCTTTTAAAATATCAATTTACAGACAAACCTAAAAGAAATATTCAGGGTATCCAACTATATTTGTCATGAATTTAAACACACATCTATAATCTATAATATAAAAGTAAAAAATATATATATAATTTCAGTCTAAGATGAGTTCACCTAGTAAGTTTTACAGGAGAAATATCACGTGAGACCCCAAATAAATGTCAGATACAAAATTATATCACATGGCTTCATTCAAACACACAAAATTGAAGTCAGAAAACTAGACTGGCTTTTTTATATCACCAGCTTTCATGAGAGCCTTAATTGCTCTTGCCCTCATCTCAAGTTCTAGAAGTTCCAGTTGCTGCGCAGAAGGCTGAACATCTTCTGGTGGAGGAACAGTCAGGGTGGCCGCTTTGGGCTCCTTTGGGCTAGACTCCGCCAGTCCCAAAATCTCATTCACACTTTTTTCAATATCTTTCTCCAAGTCATCTATCTGACCAGCTTCGCCCCGGACTGTTCTTTCTGGGACTTCTGGAGCGGCAGCAGCAGTTGCGACACCAGTGGCAGTGGCGGCAGCGGCAGCAGATTCTTCATTGCCTTCTATATCGCTGTCATAAGCATCTGCATTTATACTGAGTACATCACTATCTTCCCCTTTGCCTGAAACAAACAAAAGAAGGGGGTGGGGGAGAACCATGTAACCCAAAGTTCTGGGTCAACATTTCCTTCACTTAAGTATGATGCAGGGGTTGCCCTGACCTACCCCCACAACAAAGGCCCAAGCTCATCTGTAATCCTTATTGCACTCACTTCGTTCCTGACTCTTCAACTTAAAAAGCAAATGACATTTCATGTAAATCCTAAAGTAATTTTCATCCCAATTTGTTGAAACACGGTTTTGGAAAACTTAGTTCATCAGATGGAGTTCCCTTGATCGATTTTCCTAATTAAAGTGTCATAATGTTTTATACCACAATGAAGTTTATTGATTACAAAATGAAGGCTCATGTTGAAAACCTTTTAAATAGAGCATTATTGGGTACATACAATTTCATCTTAGAGGATACACTTTGCTTTGAAGACTAGAAAATAGGAAAAATGTCATCAGGAAGCTAGATATTGTATACATCACTTATCCTAAACCCTCTCTTATACTCATTCAAGCACTTCGTTCTGAATCAATAAATTAATAAAACTGGTGTACAAATATTTTAATGTTATAAAACTCTGATGTTAGGAATTTAATCAAAATGTAGATTATATCATGCTCAAGTAACAGTCTTGGCCTTGGCACTGGACATTACCTAACTTTAGATACCATTTACGATTTTGAGTGTTCATTTATTATCCTAATTTATTTATATTTTAGGTAACAAGCATTTTTATTTAAAAATTAATTAAAAATAAACTTTTGATTTGAGAATAAAACTTATTTATAAAATACTGAATAGCGAATGTAAACAATTGTTAATAGAATGTACAGTAAAGGGACAATTCTACCTCATTTGTTTTATAACACATACTCTACCAACCTTAACCCATATCACTTTAGTTACAAAACCACTTCCAACTCCAAAATTAATGTAGAAAACTAGTCAACATATTATTTTTGTTGCCACAAATAGAATATGTAAAAGTTGCAATTTTAATAGATTCTAAAGAGCATTTCATGTATCTCCCCAAAGAAGCAAGAATTTCTAAACAGCAAGGAAAAAAGTACAGCAAAATGAGTAATTCTTCCTACAAAATGTTTGACAGAAATATTCTAACTTGAGATAAAAACAAATCTAAGAAAGAATGCACTTTGCTGTTCAATACCTCAAAAAAAATCAACATTCAGGTGGAAGATCTGGGGTCATCTGCAATCAAACTGGCTGTGTGTGGAGCACATAAGCCACAATGTCATGAAGGCTTCCACCAAGAGGATCCAGGAGACCAGGCAATGCATAGCAGGATTAGGATCCCTCTGAGCAGTCCCTCAGAGGGAGGTGGGCTTAGACTTTTGGACAATGTTGAAACTGTTAAAACTTTGGGAGGTCTAGAAATAAACTGTGTTTTGTATTATATAATAGCCATGAGTCTTTGGGAGCCATGAACAGAACCTTAAGTATTGACTATAAAATGATATTGATGGGCTGGGGAAGCTTTTATTATGAGAGGCTGTAGACATAGTGCCTAGCCATGGGAGTGGTTTGCACAGGTGAATGCTACAGAGTATCTTGCCCTGACTCCCCTGTTCTTTGTTTTTGTCTTGTTCTATTTGTTCTCTCTGCTTCCTGCCTACCTACCGATAGGAACAGCTTCTCTCACATGCTCCCACTGCCACAGCGCTGTCTCACAACAGGCCTGGACACATACAGTTAAGTCAGTCAGACTATGACAGAATGCCTGAAACAACTTATGAGAGGAAAGATTTAATTTAACTTATAGTTTCAGAGACTTCAATCCATGGTTACATTGCAAACAGGAAGAAAAAAAAAAACCAACTGGAGGGCCGAGAACATGTGATCTCCTGGGATAAACCTCAGTGGCCTACTTCCAATGATAGGCACTTAAAAGTTCCACAGCCTCCCCAAGCAGCATCCACGTGGGACATTTCACACTCAAATCATAGCACATGCTCTTTATCCCCGTCAGGAGGAAAATGGCTTTCAAATACCTTTCTGGGACCAAGAAGCACACACATTCACTTAATCTGAATAATTTTTAAAGCAGGCTTATTTAAGACGTAACCATAACTAAAGTCATTACCCTGAGCTTACACTGTAAAATGCTTTATAAAAACAGTACCACCAGAGATTCAGGATCAAAATGTTCAAACATCCAATCCCAATCACAAAGGACAAAAGCCTAGTAAAAAAAATCTTTTTGAGTGTATTTCAAACACTTAAACGGACAATAGATATACTGCTTTATACCTTTGTTTTTCTATCAACAATAAATCTATTCTACTACATCTATTCTATCACTAACGAACTTTGATGTTCTCTGTCACATTCAAAATTATTGAGTCCAAGTAACTTGAGTTCTCTACAACACCATAATGCTGAAGGCATTCATAGATTGCATCCGTCCATTGTAAGTATACTATAGGTATCAAAACATTGTAACATTCCACACCTGAATGATTTGACATGTGCACTTTTCACATAATAGAAAGTAAATAACTTGTAGAAATCATTATTTGAAGGTATCAATACCATTTTAGCCTATTATTTAATTTTTATCATTTCAGTAGAATCAGTCACTAACTCATGTTTTTAAGTCATCACCTGAAAATACATGGACACATTTCCAAAATAATTTGCTCTCATTGCTTCTCAGCAGTGAGGACTTACAAAGATTTTTTCTCATGTCTCACAAAGAAGAAAAGCAAAGCTCATACATTCTTTTCACAGCAGTGATTATCTTAAATGCCTAATTCAAAGTTATTAAAATTGTGTGATTATATGTCCTCTCCTATACTCTCACTCTAGATGTGTATGTGCACACAAGTGAGTGTGTGTGTGTGTGTGTGTGTGTGTGTGTGTGTGTGTGTGTGTGTGTGTGTACATTCTTTTCAGGGCAAAGTGTCAATTTGTCATGTTAAGAAATCCACAAAGACCCTTCAAGTTTACACATAAACTTACAAGAGTCTTATAGTAACAATCTAAAAGGTAAATTATTTCTATCCTTTTAAATAAAATCTAGTCAGGAAGAAGAGCTTGAGCAGATGATGTGGTATCTCCTTTAATAACGTTTTAGAATTGCTATTCAGAATTTATGTTCAAACTTTTTTCATAATAGACATATTCATGAATTATGGTAAGAATCCCCAAACTCAGTTTGTAAGCTAATTACACACTTGGTCTTTACAAAAGCACTAGTACTTAAGTCCAGTTAATTACTTAAGTTTTATTAAAGATATTTTTAAAAGGTTTGATGTATGCATGATATAAACAAAGGTTATTAAAATCAAACAAGAAAAATAAAATACAAATAAACCTGAATTAAAATATCACATATGCAATTAAAATAATAAGAATACAAATTCAAACTATTAACTAAAACCACAAAAGACTAATCAAAAACAGTGCAGGGGGGCACAAAAAAAAATGAGACCCAAGTTGCTGATGCTATGGAGCTGCAGAATAATTAACTTTATTCACAGGAAACAGAGTCTGTGATGCAACCCTTATATTAACTCTGCTCCTCCAGTAAGACGGGTGACCCCTCATATTACAGACCTTATAGAGGTCTTCAGAGAAAAGCAATATAAATAGTGGGGAGAACTGATTATGAGAAAGGATTAAAGGACTTTAAGAGCTTGGCTAAGCTATAGTGCTAGGAAGACAAAGTGAAAGTGAAAAAAATTAAAAGTAATAAAGAGTACAGGGATTCCCTGAGCATTTTTCTCTTACAGTTGATGCTGTAGCCAATTTCGTGCCAATGTACATTCTATTACATTGTCCTCTGGTCCATATGCTTTCATTATTTCTCATTTGTTCATTTCCTTGCTATCTTCTTTCTGTCCTACCTGTTTGATTGATATCCCAAACTCCGACCACAAGTATTAAAGAGTTTTAAATAATAACCAATTCATCTAGACTCAGTATCTAGACAGAAACATTAATCAATCATTACTCAAATTAATCATTGACACAGGTGAATACCCTGATTTAACAGAAAAATACTTGTTTACATTATTTGATAACTACAGATTTGAGAATGGGATAAAATCATAAAGGCTAAATATCTGACAACTAAACACAACACCTTATACTCTCCAAACATTTTACTGCCAAGGAGAAGAAAATTAACAAATATACACTCAGTTTAACATAGGTTCAATCTCCAACATTGACAATGCACTCAAAGACACACACCCACAAGAAACATACCATGGCTTTAAATAAAAGGGCTGTACCATAGAACAGAAAAGGCTAAAATGCAATACATATATGTTATGATAATCTGCAACAAATGTCACTGCTTGAAATTAGATAAGAGGAAAACATTTCATGCCATAAACTTGATTTTTCAGAAGTGTTTAGATAAAACAGTCAACAAAAGCAAATAAACACAAAAACCACTGATGACATCACATGAGTTACATCACAGTGTAACTCATAAAAGTTAAAAGGCTATTTTAGTTATATTAGCATATTGAACACTTATAAGATGTTATTATATTCTAGTTGCTAATTCACTTCTTATTTGTAACATGAAAGGCTAGCCTGCCTATGGCACCTTCTGATAGTGCATTATTACATAAAGCCAAGAGACAAAGCCTAGAAGAGGGAATATTTATACAGCTGTCCAAATTCCTGCAAATGGCAACTAGACACACAGTAGAGAAATACCTAAAAAATAGTGCAAATTCATCAACTCTTTTTCACTAATTGCTGTTACATGCATATATGTTTATGTACTCACTATGTATATGTATATACACATATACTCCTAATTACATAAATACACCTAGTTCAGTCTGTGCAATGTTACTTGTATGTATGTTTTCAGGGAAGATCATTTGGTATTCAACTGCCTATTAATGTGCTCTTTTGATAAAGCAAAGGTCTCAGAAGAACTAATGAATATAAGTCACTTGCAGAAACAGTCACAGATTTGAAAGATAGCTCCTCTGGTAAACTGTCATGTAAGTGTAAGTACCTAAGTTC